CGTCAAGTCCGCGCCCCTCCCGCCCCGCCCACTGGCCCACGCCCCTCATTTGCATCCGAGGCCCCGCCCCAGCCGCTCAGCTAAGGCGCCCGCCTTTAAGGAAGCCTGGGCATTTAAGGTGGTACAGAGCGAGAGGCGTCAGTGGGCGTGTGCGCAGGCATGTGCCCAGCCCTCTGGCTACTAGTGTGTCCTGCTTGGGTCCTCGCCTGTCACTGCTGCAGTCTCAGCACTTCTGCCCAGTCTCCTAGTTCCCTGGCTTCATGTACCCGCTGGACCGATTCCTGGTGGTCCCCAGCACTGCCGCTGAGCTGAGGCGGAGAAAAATCATTTCCTGATTTAGAAAAAGGGAACCTGAGGGTTTAGGCTGGCAGTGCAACTCCTGGGGATTTTGCTGACCTTCTCACTAGCCAGAAATCGGCCCCCCACCTCCAGCCCTTGCTCAGGCCAGGAGCTGCCTGGGGTGGGAGACACTCTGGCAAACTAAGAGTATAGCCAAGCCAGCTTCTGGCCTAGGTTTACCACCTGTCTTTCCATGTGGGCACCGGTGCTTTCTTTTTGCTTTTTGGAATACAAGAGTTTGAACCCAGGAAACACTACTTTTTTTCTTTACTTTTATTTTTGTCAGTACTGCGTTTGCATTGCATACTGATTAGATTCCCCGTGGGGCATTGGTACCTGGCCAGGACACTTCCTCATTCTCACGGCTCTTTCCCTCCTCCTTGCACCTCTTGGTCCCCTTCCCATTCGCCAAAGAAATGTTCCCTGCTTCCTGTCAGCTATCTTTTATTTTGCTCATTGTTTGTACTTTGGGTTCCTCACATAAGAGAAACCGTGCAATATTTGAGCGTGTGCGTCTGTTTTATGTCACTGAACATTATGGTCCCAAGCTCATACACAGTGGAGTATTACTCTGCTATAAAGAAGATAAACGCGAGTCGTGTGTAGGACAATTCTCTCTCTCAAAAAAAGACCCCAACTTGCAATCCTGCCTCAGCCTTCCCAGTAGCTAGGACTACAGGGTTACAGGATTGTGCCCTTGCACCTGGCTTAGGCACAAGAATTTATTGAACATCTGCTATGTGCCTGGCACTGGTTTCAGGCTCTGACAATACAGTAGTGAACAAGCCAAAGCCCACGCCCACTGGAGTTTATAGCCTAGAGCAGAAAAGAAGCAATAACCAAGTAAGCACATCTGTAATATTTCTCTATCCTGTCAACAGCTCTAAATGGTATATATTACTTCCAATTTACAGATGCAGAAACTGAACCCAGGCATAAATGCTTATCTTCCTCGCAGCCATCTCTAGCCCTGGTTTCCTCATCTGTAAATGGTAGGAAACTTAATATAGCACCACTTGGCCCAAAGTGTTGGCCTAGATATCGAACGTGGCGGGACAGCTCTGAATACTCCTGGGCTACGTAGTACAGATAATTGCTGGGGCTGCGGCTGCGGCTGCTGCTGCTGCTTGCCATTCTGGAACCAAACCCCTAACCCCAAATGGTGATGACTGGCCTGAACAGAGAGGTGTGGCTGGTGGCCTAGCCCTGAAATGACGGCTTTCTCGGGAGCTACCGTGATGTCAGCTGACGTGAATGGAGACCCAAGCATGCCAGGTATGCAGGAAAGCCCACAGCAGCTGTCCCCAAGAGAAGGAGACACATAAGCACCTCAGATAACTGCCATGCTGCATGAAGCAGCAGCCGCAGCAGCCCAGGGCCCTGGCTGACCACTGCGTCCCCAAACAAGTCTTCTCCCATCCCTGGACACACACAAAGCACTTTATTCTCTCCCTGCACCGAAGCTTGGGTTTGTTTTTTATTTTGACGTGCCCTTTGCCAATAAAAGCAACAATCAATAGGAGCCGCAAAAAGCCTAGGCAGAGTGCACAATCAGTGGTACAGCACTGTGGAGGAAGGAGGCAGGCTGTGAGAGGCCTCCTTGACACAGAAAGCACACGCCGTCAGCGGGGCTCCAGGGTTAGGTGACGGCAGAGCTGAGAAGCTCCCTGCAAGTAGGGGCCTTACGTCATAGCCAGGGTCCAGCAAGCCAGACTTTTTCCTTTCTTTTCTTTCTCTCGCTTTGGTTTTTTTTTTTTGTTGTTGTTGTTTTTTGAGACAGTGTCTCACTCTGTAGTTCTGGCTACCTTGAACTCACTATGTAGCCCAGGCTGGCCTCCAATTTGTGACAATCTTCCTATCTCAGTGTCCCCAGCGCTGAGACTACAGACATATGTCACCATGCTCTGCTGAGGCCAGGTTATAAAGAACAGGAGCCTTAGGTCAGGCATGGTGCCGCATTCCCATAATCCCAGCACTGAGGCTGAGGTAGGAGGAGGATTGTTGCTGCGTGCTTAAGTTCAGTCAGGGCTGCATAATGAGTTCAAGGGCAGCCTGAACCACATGTCAAGATCCTGTCTCAAAAACAAACAAATAAAACAAAACAGAACAAAAAAAGAGCTTCAGGATGGGTACTAGCTATGACAGAACAAAAATAGAATCTTTGACCCACTGTCCTCCAAGCCTGGCTCCTCCTATTGGGAAGACCTACTGACAGTGCCTCAGCGCAGTCGCAGCCCTCCTGTTTAGCAGGCTTGAGCCCCAGTCCCTCCTCTCTGTCCTCAGAAACTTTGTACTACTAACCAATGGGCTGTTTTTCCTTTGCCCTTTGCAACCTGTCTCCACTCCGTACACACAGCACTGAGCTTAATGGCAGAAACCAGTAAAGGGAAGGAAACGTGAGCTTCTGAGCCTCTCACCTGGCTTACAGTGGGAGCTAACGAGGGGTGGGAGGCAAGGATGCGGTTGTGAAGCTCTACTAATAAAATGCTCAAAAGGTCCATTCAGTTCATTGCATCCATCCACGACTGGAAAAGAGGAGCAGACTCGGGGAAGCAAAGACATGGATTCCCCTCTGGAACCTGTGACCTAGGTGGGGAGACAGGGCCTGCTCCTTTGTGAAAAAATAAATACATAGTTAGAAGAAGAAGAAGAAGAAGAAGAAGAAGAAGAAGAAGAAGAAGAAGAAGAAGAAGAAGAAGAGGAGGAGGAAG